CATGGAAAATAATCTGGAAAAAAAAATGTATATATATATATAACCGGAACATTGTAAGCCAAGTATCCTTCATCAAAATACATATATTAAAAAAGAAGGTGATAAATATACTCATGCATTTGCATGTGTAAGCTACAAGCAAGCTGGGGTAGCCAGATTGATTTCAAAAAACACATTTGTTGTTCGTTGTTCAGTTGCTCTGTTGTGTCTGACTCTGCGACCCCAAGGACTATGACCCACCAGGCTCCTCTGTCCATGGGATTCTCCAGGCAAGAATACTGGAGTGGGGTGCCATTTCCTTCTCCAGGGGACCTTCCCGACCCAGGGATCAAACCCAAGTTTCCTCCACAGACAGGTGGTTTCTTTACCACTGGGTCACCAGGGAAGCCCATGTGTAGGCATGAGCATAGTACAGCCCAGAACTTCATTCCAGAACTTCTGAGATTAAACTGCTGGCCAATGTGGGATACATCTTGATCTGATACCAATCTTCCTCTTCCTTTGTTGTTCAGGCTCCAATCCTGTTTTGTGTCCTTGTTTACATTGATCCATGACAGGTCTGGTGAAGAACCTGTCTGCCAATGCAGGAGACGTACGAGATGCAGGTTTGATCCCTGGGTGGGCAAGATCCCCTGGAGGAGGGCACGGCAATCCACTCCAGTATTCTTGCCTGGAGAACCCCAAGGACAGAGGAGCCTGGTGGGCTACAGTCCATGGGGTCGAAAAGGGTCAGCCACGACTGAGCGACTGAGCTTGCACGCATGCACATGACAGGTCTGTCAGTTCTTTGCTCCAGGAAAGGGCATCTCAGACTGCAGTGACTCAAAGTTCACGCAGCCTTAACGGCATTTATTTTTTGGTGCCATTTTCCAAACCTCCCTGCCATGTTCATCCCCTTCAGGAATGCATTCTCTTCTGAGTTGTCTGATGCAGCTGCTCCTGATCTTGGATGTGACAAGTCACCTAGATAGAAGGCGACGTCCAGGAAGCGTTCACAGAGCAGGTTCCATCTCAGCGTAACCTTGAAACTTGTAGGGTGGAGCAGGCAGGCATGCAGGGCATTCCAGGAGTGAGGAAAAGACTGCAGGGCTTGAGAACACATCTTGCCTGCTTAGCAGGAAGGGCTCTTTGGAGGGTGTATTGTGCAGTGCTTAGTCGCTAAGTCACGTCTGACTCTTTGAGACCCCAGACTGTAGCCCGCCAGGCTCCTCTGTCCACAGGATTTTCCAGGCAAGAAGACTGGAGTGGGTTGTCACGCCCTCCTCCAGGGGATCTTCCCGACCCGGGGGTAGAACCCATGTCTCCAACATCGCAGGCGGATTCTTTACCACCTGAGCCTCCAGGGAAGCGCTGGTGGAGGACAGAGGGACAGGTCAGGGCAGGCAGGGAGCGGATTAGCACCAGCCTCACCTAACAGGGTGAAGAGCGAGTGTTCCAGCCGGCAGGTGACGGCGTGCAGGTGAAGGTGTGCAGTGGCGAGCAGTCGCTGGTGTGTGAGAAGGTTTGAGCAGCAATTCATGGTTTATTTGCGCTGCAGCAGCTATGCAGATGACAGACTGCATCTGAGCAGGAAGAAAGATCAGCTTGAGTATTAACCCTTCACTCCCCCCACTCCCACTCAACACGCTGCAATCTTTTAAAGATATCTTCTGCGTGGACTGTTTTTAAAATCTGTATTGAATTTGCTACAATATTGCTTTTATGCTTTTTCTTTTTTTCTTTTGGGGGGGCTATGCGGCATGTGGGCTCTTAGTTCTCTGACCAGGGATGGAACCTGCATCCTCTGCACTGGAAGGTGAAGTCTCAACCACTGGAGTGCCCAGGAGCCCCTGCACACGACCTTTCCCGCCCCACCAGCCCCTTCGATTGCTCCCTGTCTCATCACTGTGCTCTTCTCTTCGCCCCAGCCTCTCCCTCTGCGGTGCTGACTTACACGCACGTGCCCTCTAAGAGACTGTAAACTCTCTCTCTCTCTTTTTTGCATAGGTGAAAGATTTTATTACTGAGTTCTTTGAAAAAGCAACTATATCCACTGCAAACCTACTGAATGAGAGGCTATTAAGCCATTCAGTGGGTTCTTTGTGTGGGGTTGTGGTTGGAATTTCAAGCTCATGGTAGGGGTTTGCAACTGACATGGTTGCAACTGTCACCGTTCATCAGTATAACTGCAGACGTGCTAAGCAGATGGTAAGCTTCTTGAGGGCAGGATAAGTATTGCACTCACTTTCCTATACATATAGGTGTTCATCCCTAGGCCCAGAGGAAAGTAAGTGTTCAATACACTCAACATTGCATCCATTCAGTATGTACTGTGTGCCTACTATGTGTTTCCTGGCCTTCCCAGGTGGCTCAGTTGTAAAGAATCCACCTGCCAATGCAGGAGACGTGGGTTTGATCTCTGGGTGGGGAAGATCCCCTGGAGAAGGAAATAGCAACCTGCTTCAGTATTCTTGAATGGAAAAACCCCATGGACAAGGAGCCTGGAGGGTTACAGCCCATGGGGTTGCAAAGAGCACACACGCACTATGGATTTCCGAGAAAAACTGCTAAAGGCGCTGGAAAATCTCCCTGCCCTGGAGGAATCCACAGACGAATCCCAAGAGACACGCAATAAATCAGGAAGGGAGTCAATAAATAAATGGGTAAAATTTTAGGATGTCAGAAAGTGATAAAGGCTACGATAAAAAAAAAATAAAACAGAATCAGAGGAGATGAACTGAGGGTGTGATTTGAAACTGGGTGGTCAGAGAAGGTTTCGCTGTGACGTGGATCTCAGAACGCAGACTTGAGAAGTGAGAAGAAGCCAGGTGGACAGCCGGCTGGGGCGGTGGGGAGGCTGTGGAGAAGAGGAGCGGCCAGGAAACCCCGAAGCAGGACGGGCAGGGTGTTTGAGTCGCGGCAGCCGGCAGCGTGGCTGGCGCAGTGATGGGCAGTCGGAGGTCAGCTGGAGCAGGCAGTGGGGGCGGGCGGGTAGGGCGCAGCTTGTGGGGCTACTCTGGCCTCGCGCTAAGGACTCGGGCCTTTATCCTAAGTGGGACCCGAGGCCACTGGGGGACCCGAGCAGAGGAGAGACATGATAGAACTTGCCAATTAGGGACCCCTCTGGTGATCTAGGGATGAGGGCTTCACCCCCCAGTGCAGGGGGTGTGGGTTCGCTCCCTGCTCTGGGAGTTAAGATCCCGCGTGCCTCGGGGCCAAAAAACCAGAACATAAAGCAGAAGCAATGTTGTAACAAATTCAGCAAAGACTTTAAAAATGGTGCACATCATCCAGGTGTGGGGAGAGCTGCTGCAGTTATTCTGGTTGTTGTTCTGGCTGAGTCAATTAAGAACTCTTCCTGCTGCCCCCCCGCGCCCCAAAAGATGGTCCACCTAGAAAAGTCTTTAAAAGAAAAAGCAAGCAAACAAACAACAACAACAACAACTCTTGGTAATTAAACAGGACAGCTCTGGCAACTTCAAGAGGGACACAGGTTCTCTTGGGCGATGGACAGCAGTTGGACCAGTGTTTGTCAGTGGAACTGGAAAGAAGTCTGGGCCCTGTGCAGGGCCTCCAGGTGCTTTTCTTTGATGGATTTGCTCCCAGTGAACCAGGGTCTCTGAGAGGAGGAGAAGAGCAGAGACGCCTCCAAAGGTCGGCAGGCGCGACTGCAAACTTGGGGTTGCTGCTCACAGAGACATACCGGGTGATCCCGTGATTCTCCGTCCAGATTACGACTCTTCCAGAGTGAAACACATGCTATGCGTTTGGGAAAACGTGTCAACCTGGTTTATCTTGCAGAGGCTGTCCACCGCAGAGCCGCGGTTCACAGTCAGGGCTGCTTCCCTCCAAGAGGTGGCTTGGGCCGTAAAGAACCCACCTGCAGTGCAGGAGACCCGGGTTCGGTCCCTGGGTGGGGAAGATGCCCTGGAGAAGGGGATGGCAACCCACTCCAGGTTTCCTGCCTGGAGAATCCCATGGACAGAGGAGCCTGGCGGGCTACAGTCCACATAAGAAAAAACTCACACTAGCTGACCTAAAATAAAAGCATTCTTTTAGTCCCAGTTTAGGTTCTGGCATTTTTATCTTCCCCTTCTTTTTTTGCCCTGCCAGTTAAATGAAGTCACAGAATGAGGTGACTGCGATTGTTGGCTATATCTGAATAAGCCTGCTGGCTTCTGAGCTGCCAGAAACAGAGAGCAACATCTCAACAGCTGAGCTAATAAGAAACGAAAACTTTGAAACCAGCCCTGCTTTTCTGCATTCGGGTCTAACAGACAAGGGTGCATGCATGCTCAGACGCTTCAGTCGTGTCCAACTCTTTGTGACCCCGTGACTGTAGCCCGCCAGGCTCCTCTGTCCATCGGATCCTCCACGCAAGAATACTGGAGGGGGTTGCCATGCTCTCCTCCAGGGGGTCTTCCCGACCCAGGGTTCAAACCCACGACTCTTGTGTCTCCAGCATCGGCAGGCGGGTTCTTTACCCCCTGAGCCACCTGGGAAGCCCAGCGGGTCAGGGTTAAGGATCTCAAACACTCTCCTGCCTCATTTTCCTCTGGGATCTCATAATGAGGTGCCAAGCTTTAGCAAAATGGGCAAAAGCAGCTTTCTGCCTAACATCCTGAGACCACAAGGTTCTGTGTTTGGCGGGAAGGGTTCAAGGCTGGGTTCTGGACCAGCCCCTCCCTGCTGGTGGCTCACTCACAGGCACACCGGCGCATTTCCAGCGCTTACGTAACAGGGGCAGCGGGCGAGGGTGAGCGTGTCCACATCCGAGCACGGTGTCCTTGGTCTGGAATGCAGGAGCAACAAGTTTCAGCAGGACTGTGCCCCCGCACACGGGGCCCTGCGGGGGAGCAGGTGCGGCCGGCCGCTCGGCGGCCAAGCTCAGCGCTCCCTCGGGTCAGGTGTCTGGAAAAGGCAGGAAAACTGGAAAGGATCTGCGTTCCCTGAAACCCGCGGATTTCCACCTCCGATTATTTGTCAGGCAGCTACGAACGTGTTCAACACAAACACTGCCTCTACCTATGTCGTGAGGGGAAATAGTTGGCCCGTAAGGCACCCCTGGCGCCTTGAAGAATAAACAAACCCGAGTAAACATCTGAGGGGGAAAAAAAAACCCAGCAGACCAGCACACACACGGGGCTACTTCTGGGCGCTGGAGCTCCCCGCGCGCCGGCCGCCGTCGCGGGCGTCACATGAGAGGCCCGCGCGTCGCCCCGAAGCACAGCAAAACACGGAGGTGCCAGGGGAATTAGTACGCTGTCCTCGGCCGACCTTCCCTCACTCCCGTCCGAAGGGAACAGGTGGTTCAGTCCGCCGCACAGAGCCTCACGTCCCGACCCTGCAGCCGGCACTCCGGATCCCAAGCCATCAGCGGGACACCCGCCTGCTGAAGAAGAAAAGAGGCCCCCGGTCCGAAGCAGACGCCGCATCCTCCCATCTCCCACGGTCCGCCTGCTCATCACTACTTGTCCACGCTTGTCAAGCATTAATTGCCTAGGGGCTTCGCTGGAGGTTCGTGGCTGAGACTCCGCCTGCCAACGCAGGAGACACAGGTTCGATCCCTGGTCCGGGACGATCCCGCATACCTTGGAGCAACTAAGCCCGCGCCCCACAACTACCGAGCCTCTGCTCGCGAGCGCGGGAGCCGCAGCTACTGAAGCCTGCGCGGCTAGAGCCCGCGCTCCGCACCAAGAGAGCCACCGCCCGGAGAAGCCAGAGCACCGCAAGCAGAGAGCGGCCGCCACTCGCTACATCTAGAGAAAGCCCTCGCTGCAAAGAAGACGCAGCAGAGCCAAAGGAAAAAAAATAAAAATAAAAGTACACATAAAAGAGCAATTGCCTGCGTCCACTTTCAGAATCTCGGAATAAAAGTGACATGCAGCGGGCATCCTTTCTGAGGCTCCTCGAGGAGACTCCAGAGCCCAGGGCACTTCATTATCTCGATGCGAAAATGTGACTTTTTTTTTTGGGGGGGGGCATTTGTAAAATTGAAGAGTGCTCATAACCTTCAGGGAAACTGGTCTTTGTTCTTGGAGTCTAACAAGTGTACTGCATAAATTGGCCGCTCCAGAGAACAGAAATAGAAGAGAAGTGTGCATATGTAGCTTCCTGAAAACACGATTTCACAGGACTTGTTCCTCTGCTTCCAAAGGATTACACGCAATTGATGGAGCGGATGCCTGGAAGAGCGTCCACCACAGCTCTGCTCTCCATCTCCCTTATGATTTATTTTTAAAATACTTAAAGGCTCAATTCATCTTTTGGAAGGCACTCTGATATAGACGTTTGCTCAGCTCTTGCTGCAGAAACTTTTTTCCTTGAAGGAAGCTCAGTCACTGGGAACATGGGATCTTAAAAATTCTTTATTTTCTTTACTTTCTATCTACTCCGAAGCAGCACTGACCATAAATGGCTAAAATAATTCACCCAGATCAATTAAAGTTAAAAGGCTAAAATGCAGACACTTTTAGTGCAGCAAAAAATGTAGCTTTATATCTCACAAAGTTGTTGTTGTATTGTGTGTGTGTTTAGTCACTCAGTCATGTCTGACTCTTTTTGACCCCATGGACTGTAGCCTGCCAGGGTCCTCTGTCCATGGGATTTCCCAGGCAAGAACCCTGGAGTGGGTTGCCATTTCCTATTTCAGGGAACCTTCCAGACCCAGGGACAGAGCTGGAGTCTTGCGTTTCCGGCATTGACATGCAAGTTCTTTACCACTGAGCTACCTGGGAAGCCCTATGTCTCACAATGCCTGGAGAAAAGAGTAACAACATCATGGAAAGAGAGCAATAGCATGTGCTACTTACTGGCCAGGATTTAATGCTTCTGAACGCTGAAAACTTCAATACAAACCCATCAATCCTTTTGAAATTCTGCAGATTCTGACAGGGTGCTTTTCAGGTCTGGATGTCTAGTAACACTAACAAGGGAAGAATATGTACTTTTTTTCTACATACTTTAAAAAATTAATCATGATGAAACATAAAACATTCTAGTGAATAAAAAAAAAAATGTGTCTTCGTTTGCTGGCTGTCTCCCTTTATCCCCGCCTAATTCCAAACACTTCACATGGATCACTTTGGATAGGTACTGCGCAATTATTTTAAACACAGACTCCAGTTATTAAATAAGAATTTAAAAAGACTTAATAAATGAGAATTTCTCCATTTTAAAATTATAAAATATCTACAACACATGTTTAAACTCTCCTGAAGGTGAAAAACCAAAGTGTTGGTCCCTCAGTTGTGTCCAACCCTTTGTGACTCCATGGACTAGCCCGCCAGGCCCCTCCGTCCATGGGAGCTTACAGTCACGAGTACCCGAGTGGGTTGCCGTTTCCTTCTCCAGGGGATCTTCCCGGTCCAGGGATCGAACCTTCATCTCTTGCACTGCAGGCAGATTCTCTAGTGCCTGAGCCCCCAGGGAAGCCCTTAAACCCCTCTACTGTTTAGTTATTAAGTAAGGAGGCCACCCAAGAAAACATATTTGGTGGTTTTAAAAATATACTTAATGTTTAAGTCGAGTGATTAGTTAATTAGTAAAACAGCTAGCAACTGGAAGTAACGGTTACTAGAAAAACGTTAGCACAAAGGCAATGAATCAGAAATATGTAGATAGAATAAATACAACAGAAGGATTTGGAATATGAAGGTCCCAATGCATTCAAGTGACTGGAAATAACTGAAATGCTATCAGCGTATTTCTTTAATAAGGAAAGCCATATCCTAGAAGCTGATCACTGAAGTCTGACAACTGTCTTCACTTCTCATTAACTACCACTCTGCCCCCTGCTGTTAGCTTTACAGGGCTGTGACACTCTATGGTCAAAGGCCCACATAATTCATGCCCCAGCTATTCAGCTGTCCTCAAATCCAATCCACACAGTGGAGAAGAGCTGTTTTCTCCAGATGGTCCCCATTCCCTCTTCACGAACATCCAACAGAGTTCTGATTTGCTGCAGTAATAACATATTTCTTCTCCCTCTCTCTCCCATGCAACTGATAAGCATTTCTGTTCCTATCTCTTTATACCCATAGAAACATTCCTCTTGTGTTTGTTTTTTTTTTAATCATTTTAACATTCTTATCTCTTGTCTTAAAAGGTTTTTTAAAATGCTTTTTTTTCATCACCACTTGCTAGGACACATGTTGTTACATCTTCCATGTATGCGGGCTAAGTCGTTTCAGTATGCCCAATTCTTTGTGAATCTGTGGACTGTAGCCCACCAGGCTCCTCTGTCCATGGGATTCTCCAGGCAAGAATGCTGGGGTGGGTTGCCATTCCCTTCTCCAGGGGATCTTCCTGACCCAGGGATTGAACCAGGGTCTCCTACATTGCAGGTGGATTCTTTACCATCTAAGCCACCAGGGAAGCCCACATTTAGGAAAAGAACACATAAAATTTCCTACATTTTTCAAGTTTCCACAAGCATTCCAAATCTCACCAGAATGCTGGATGGGGTGACCACAGTCCACATGGCTTCCTTACACAAAGCAGCATCCAATGTGGCAACATACCTCCAACACATTTAATAAATGCATTTGACATTTATTTGGATGTTTTAAAAAATAGGAGAAACAAGGCCCTATAAAGTGGAAACCTGTAGTTTTTACCAAGTGAGCAGGATCTGGGGTTGTCCTCAATTCCCACATAAATGTCAGTAGGTTAGGCTGCTGGAAGAGGGCTCTAGAATAATTTCTAAAGATTTCCAGAGTTCCGGCAGAGTACAGTCTAGCATATCACTACTGTTTAACTCCTTAGACTGAAAAATACACAGTCACCAACAGGTTGTGTAGCATGTGGCTCACAGCAGTGCCCAGTCCATAAGATGCCATCAGCTGTTCAGTAGAGCCCCAAATAGTCAATGCCTAATATTATGCATGTGTGCACGCTGAGTCACTTCAGGCAGGTCCAATTCTGTGCAACCCCATGGACTGCAGCCCGCCGGGCTCCTCTGTCCGTGGGATTCTCCAGGCAAGAATATTGCAGTGGGTTTACAGGCCATCCTCCAAGGGACCTTCCCAATCCAGGAATTGAACCTACATCTCTTATATCTCCTGCATTGGCAGGCGGGTTCTTTACCACTAGCACCACCTGGGAAGCCCATCTAATATTATAGAGTTTCGTAATACTTATACTTTTGATGTGGTGCTCTATATTAATTTAAAGAAGACACTGAACCTGTTTTTTTTTTTCCCCCAGTGAGGCGAGGGCATATCATTTAATAGTGAAATTACATAAATATACGTCTATCATTTTCCAACTGAGCATATTTGCATATAGTCAGATCTATGGTGACTGCTGAAGGCTTGTCTATATAGATTCAGTTCCCTACCTGAACCAATGAGAATCTAGTAAGACTTTTTTTTTCCCCTTTTAAAAATTTTTATTTATTTACTTTTAAGCTTTTTTATTTTGTATCAGGGTACAGCTGATGAACAATGTTGTGACAGTTTCAGGTGGGCAGCGAAGGGACTCAGCCACACACATGCATGCGTCCATGCTCCCCCAAACCCCTTAATTCGGGCTCCACCTTACACTGAGCAGGGTCCCCTGTGTGGTACAGCAGGTCCTCGTTGGTTTCCCATTTTAAATACAGCCGTGTGCACGTGTCCATCCCAGCTCCCTAACTACCCTTCTCCCCATCCTCCTGAACCGTTTTTATGAGTTTGTGCCCAAAACAAAACGATTACTCTACCTGTATCAGAAAGACAGCTGGAACTTCCCAGGAGGTCCAGTGGTTAAGAATTCTCCTCCCAACGCAGGGGGCACAGGTTCCATTCCTGGTTGGGAAGCTAAGATTCCACATGCCTTGTTGCCAAAAAGCCAAGACTTAAAACAGAAACAATGCTGTAACAAATTCAATAAAGACTTAAAAAAAAAAGGCCCATATCAGAAAAATCTTTCGAAAGAAGGATAAATATGATAAATATGAAAAATCAGTAGTATTTTCTGTGATCCTGCCATGGGTTGTTGCCAATAAAACATTCTCTTTGGCCACTAATCCGAATGGAACAATTTAAGAACAAGCTGATTTATTATACCGTCTATAATTACTTCTACGCCATTGTAGTTCACAATTTCTTACTTTCCTCTGGACTTTCTATAACTTGCATATATTACCTATCTAAAATATTTCCCAGAATATTTTATAGTTTTTTAAAAAGTGCAACAGGTCAGTCTGACCTGAATTATTCAGGCCTGTGACTAAAGCCCAGAACCATCTATTAATATCAATGTAAACAGATCAAGGAGATTTGAAGGACACAGCATTGCCTTATATCAGTGTTTCTAGCTCATCCTCAGATAGCACAGCAAATACCCAATGGTCACAGTGTATTGGCCAAGGTGCAGAGAGTAAAGGAGATACCCAGATTTATCCGAAACTGAGCTTGTCCCATGAATAATGAATAGAAAACGAGGTAAAATGTTACCAGATTACTCTTAGCCTGAAAAAGGCACTTTTCCGGGGCGTTTTAAAAAGTCA